TCCCTCCCCCCCCACCCAGTGCACAAATTTTTGTGCACCGAGCCTCTAGTAACTGATAAGTAGTATCACAATTGGCTTGTCCACCACAGTCTATCAGGCTGGCATCTCTTCTGACTCTCTTCCTCTATTCATTTGAAGACAGGACACTGGACACTGACAGGAAGTAAGAAAATAACACACAGTACATGGTGACCAGGAACGCACTTCAATGTGGTTATGCTGAATTATATTCACCGCTCAGATGAGCTAGGGAAAAGTACACCTACTCCAATGACTACACCTCACATACAACGGATACCTGTTTCTTTTTTTATCTAGCCATACCTCATTTTCTTATAACTTCTCAGTTTTTTTGCTCATTGCTCTGCCTTGTACTTTCTGTCTCCATCCTGTCGATTTTGTGAGCTTCTCTGTCCTTGATTTCTCTTTTTAAATCAATGACACTGTTAATCCCTGTTTATTTATTTTCTCTGTCCATTCTTTCTAGTTTTATTATTCTAGGTGTTTTGTATACCATATAGTTGGCTCTATTTCTACCTTTCTGGTTCTTTATGATTTTCATATTTCCTTCTCCATCAAGATATTAATATGTAAATATCTACACCATGATAGGTGGTTATAACAATACATCACACACGTATATATGTATATGTATATATTTATTTATTGTTGTTTGCTAAATAAGTTTTCTTATATCAGGCACTGATACATTCCCTTGTGAATATGCCAAGTCCCTTGTACCTCCTCTTTGGACTTTGATCATATTGAAATAGCCCTTATTTTCCTGCCTGTTACTTGCAACACTTATCCTTTTTGACCCTTATAAACTTTTACATCAATTTTCTTATCCTAAAATGGGGATAGAAAGAATTAGCCTGCCTAGCCTTAGCTAGTTTGGCTCAGTGGATAGAGCTTTGGCCCACAGACTGAGGGTTCTGGTTCGATTCCAGTACCTTGGTGTGGGAGACAACCAATCCATTTCTCTCTCACATCAATGTTCTTTCTGTCTCTTCCTCTCTTTCTAAAAACCAAATGGAAAAGTACCCTCAGGTGGGGATTAACAACAACAAAAGAATTAGCCTGCCTAAGTCTTAAAGACTTTGTGATGACTAAGTAAAATCTCATTTGCCAAAGTACTTTAAAATAACACGATATAATCCAATTACATTGTGATGGAAATCTTTACAAACTATTCTAAGTTTGAGAGTGGTTGATCTGAAGCTTTTATTTCTGTCTATAATTACATAGCAGGACCAGTTCTCTTTTACCATTACAAATGATATTAATGTGAACCAATATAATCTATGATCTTAATGGGCAACATAGCAGGTATTTAAAAAGATGTTATCATTTTTCTATTTATTTCTTTTAAAACAGCAATGTATAATTATATACATTTAATCAATAGGACTCATCCTGTTAAACATGAGCTTGTAATAATTTCCTGCCTCCTCCCATTTTCTAAAATGCTGAAAGGAGTTGCCAGGATTAACTGGGTATAAGTTCTTCAAGATGCTCAGAGAAAAATGCATCTGGAAACAGTAGCTTTAATTTCAGATTCCTGACATTCGAAGACCAAGGCTTGGCATCTTAATCTTCGTTACCTGACCCATTTCTGAGGGCTGAACTAGAAGTTTCCCGAGGCTCTTCTCCATTACTCAATTCTGAAGAGTCACCACTGTTGATCCCTGCAGAAAAAAATAAAATTCCGTAACAGTCCCAGTCAGCGTCCTAGGAACCAACCCAGCATGGGATCTTCAAAAGAAAAATTGGAAAAAGAAAGTTGTGTAAGAGGGGTAAGAACATTCTTACTGCCAGGCCACCCTGTGGCTCCATCTGACCTGTTGGTCAAGGTAGCTTTGCGAGCCATCCCCAAAGTCAGGGACAATTTTGCCATGGAAGGCACTTCCTTTAGTCATCATTTCTTAATCTTCCACTTATCTGTAGATACTTCTACTTCTACTCTGTTTTTTCCAGGGGAACCATGGAAGCAACATTTTCTAGAAGTCAGGGCCTCTATCAGCCGGGTCCTCAATGATCGTGTGGAGAAGAGTATCCCTCCACCTCAGAGCTACTTTGTCCTTTATTTGAGTGAAGAACATAAACTTGCATTGGTTGTAATGCCATTAAACTTTTATACCAATTAGCTCAGCCCACCCAATGCAAAATGTATCATGTGTATCACCTAAAATCCTAATAACTTTTTTAAATGTAAAGGATATGACAAAAAATTGGCTGAAGCTTTTGTAGCAAAGAAAGCAATTTGTTACATCAAGACTTTTGGGGGAGGAGAACCAAGATGGCGGCATAGGTAAACACCGGACTTTGCTGCCTCAAACAACCACTTGAATAATACAACTAAAAGACAGAACAGACATCACCCAGAGCCACAGGAAAGCTGGCTGAGGGGAAATTCTTCAACTAGAAGGAAAGAGAACAACATACTGAGGCTCAGTGCAGAAAATACAAAGGTGCGGAGGTGTGTGCGGAGCGGGCTGGTAGCTGAGGGCACAGTTGTCATTTTCAATCGGGAGGGAGGCTCAGGCTCTGAGCTCCAGTTCTGGGCAAGTCTCTAGGGACCCAGACTCAAACAGGAGAAGCAGGACTGTCTGGCATCGGTCGGAATGTGAGGGCAGCCTTCTCTCATCAGTCGGAACGTGAGGTTTGCAGTGGTTGCTGGGACTCTGAGAGGCAGAGCCTCTGGGGACGGGACTGAGAGCAGCCATAACTGCTCCCTCCACCTGCCCTGTTTGATCCTATTTGACCCGACCCGTCCAAGCTCTGCACAGAGCCATTTGCCAGATAGCCTCAGGCAAAGGCTAGATTAGCACCTCCCCAGAGGACAGAAGTTTTCCCACTGCAGACACAGCTGATTCTCACAGCCAGTTAGCCTGGAGGTCAAATCCCCCCAGTATCAACTACAACAATCAAGGCTTAACTACAACAAGACTGCGCACAAAGACCACTAGGGGGTGCACC